CACAATAGCTATAATGCAAACTAAAGCAATTGTGAAAGCTAATCCTGTTTCGTACATTGTTGTATTTAATATTATTTGTAAATGTTCATATTTAATATTTTTCGCTTTTCAGAGAAAATAATGATTCAACATATTATTGTCGTGATTGAATTGCAACTGAAAAGTAATTTACTCTCGTCTCGTCATAGGTATTTCGTTTTTTTTTTTTTTTTTTTGAAATAAATAATAAAATAGTCAATATTTGATAATATTAAATCTCAATCATAGTATATTGTCTAATATTACTAACGTCAGAAAAAAACGTGTCAGAAAATTATTGGTTTTATTATGATTATAAATTGCAAAACCGCGAACAATACAGTCCCCATTATATGTTTTAGTATGGTCACGTTGAAAATTACACCAATTAGTTAATCGGAAGGGTTGGTCCGGCAAAGAATTTTAGGACTAACATGATCGCAGCAAGACGATATAAGTTCTGCTTGCTATTTCTGTTCTCGTATGTCAAAACATTAACATTTTGTACACAACTCGACACCGTGTATGATACCTACGGCTTACACAGTATAGGTATTCATAAACACCGTAACAACCTACGTTTGAAATGCGCTCGGAAAATAATTCGAGTCGATTGGTATTACAATATTTCACGACGACGTACCTTTCAAGCGAAGGATTGCTTTTATGTTGTACACATCAGACAAACGCAGCCGTATGTCGTGTTTTCAGCAATAAGTGTTAAAAACCGATTGCCAACCATCGACCTACGTCAATATAATATACGTATAGTACCCAAAAGGTTACTGGTACTGGCCGTAAGAATGAGAATTCCGAACTAGAATCGTCATTACGTTCTATTATTTAATAATAATTCAATGACTACATAACAAATAATGCATATTACCGTAAGTTAGCTAACAACAGTAACGTATTTAACGTACCTATGTACCTACATGTGCGCATCGAGTAGTTAATAATATGTCTCGTTATGTTGCACGTTATATAATTTAGTTATTTCTTCGGTAATCGGCTAAAGAAAATAGAAAAAAATTCATTTCGGCCTAGCATTTTTGTGTCGAGTTAACCTTTTTTTTTTCTTCTTCTCTTTTCTCCTACACCCGTTCCCGGCGTGCGCACAAGCGCAATCGAAAACACGGAGTGCGTCGACTGTAACTACTACACGAATACGCCCGGAGAGGACGACGATAAATTTTAACAAAACAATTTTTTTAAAATATGTTTCCTTCCCCTATACAAATTCTAACGTAATAAAAAATTAAATTCGTACGACATCGGTGATTGATTAAAAAATAAATGTTGATTATAATTGTTATAAATCATATACGATTACAAAGTACAATTTATATCGGATGCTGTTTCTTTCCAATTTACATATTTTCACATTACATTTACATACTGAACGCAGAGAGTTGTTCCCCAATTTAAAATTTTAGTAATTTCAATTATTTCTATAATATTAATATCCATATTACATATTTTTCTCATGCGTGTTATCGGGTTGAAAGTTAAAATTTTAATTTATTATAAATAAAAATGAAAAAGGATACATTTTCGTGTGATATTATAAACGCTATGCAAGCTTATGAAATTTGTAATCGATAAACATTCGCATCCGATGATAATTTATATACTCTAACAATATAATGACTAATTGTAATTAACTTATAATCAAATTATATGAAATGTACATTTTGCAAATATATACATAACCATTTGTAATATAAACTACTAACCCATCGTACTATGGTATATCCTTTAAGCATACTATTGAACTGGGAAAACGTAATTTTTAAAGGATCAATGTTCAGTAATATACATGCGCATAAACTTGGCTGTTATGCTGATTGAACTTGCAGCGTTTTCAAATAATCGTACTAATTATATTTATTTTAAATGAAAAAATACATAAAAATATAATTATAAATATATACGAGTAAATCTATACGAATTTAAATGGATATGGGTCTTTACTTAAAGGCGAAAAAAAAGTGTTTTTTTTTTTTTTATGCAGGATTCCTCCCCAATTTAGTAAGGGTTATAAGAAAATAATTTATGGTGAATTTGGTCATGATAGCTTATCTCCTTCCCATGTCAATCATATATGATTATTACAATTTAATTCAAAAACTATTGATCTTATCATTAAAACCATAAAAAATTACCTTCTTTGACAAATGTTAATCCCTCTTGTGGCACGCAAAGGAGATAAGTTACCATGACCAAATTCACTAGAAATTATTTTCTCATAATAATTAAAAAAATGGGAGGATCCGGCATCAAAAATTTTAAATTTTAAATTCAAGGACCACCCTAATATATATCTAACACCTTAAGGAAGAGAATATCCTCTCTTTTTATAATTATTTAGCGTACCTTTTCCATTATTTCTAAATAAGACGCTAAAAATGGTACAATTATTAGGACTTGAAAAATGTTTTTTTTTATTTTTTTTTTTGTATAGCTTAATTGATTTTTTCTAAATATTAATGAAATAATAAACGAATGAATCATCAAGATATAATTCCAATACAAATACAGATTTAAATTTAATATTTTTTGATTTAAAATGTCAAGATACGATATATTATTCCATAACAAAATACAAAAACCGCCATAATTTAAACACAAGATATATACATATACACAATTGTAAGTATAGTAGTTATGTACAGTATAGGATTTAGCTATAGAGTACATTTAAATTATTAATCATTTATTGTTTGAGATTTATAAAAATGTATAAAAATACTATAGTTCACCTAATTACAAAAATTTGTATTTTATCTATTTTTTGATTTAATAACAAAAACACAAATATAAAGTTTTATTAACATACAGTTAGTTAAGCTATTACCAAAACTGCTTAAAAACATTATATTTAAATATTTGATGTAATAATAATATATTATAACAACTTAGCAACATATTTTATGTTTAAATTATATTATTTGAAAACATACAAAAGTAATATTATAAAATAATTTATATAATAAAATAATATTGTAAAGTATTATAAATATTTATTACGTATTAATTTAAAAGAAGTACTCCGTATCACATTTTTATTTTAATACAAAAAGCCAAACTTTTAATTTACTATTAACCTAATGCACATTTTTTTTTTTTTTAATAAATAAATCCAAATAAATATATAACTTATTTTTCCTATCAATATATATATATATATATATATATATATATATTTATAAATATCTACAATCCTGTAATATATGTAAATATTGTTCAAGTTCTTTAATCATTATCAATACTTTATCAAATTTACGTCATGTTATTTCAAAAAAAATCTCTGAAACCTCCCTCTCCATTTAATGTGATATTTATCTATAAAAAATGTTATAATTAAAATTTAAAATTAAATTTATTTTAATTTAATTTCAGAATTTAAAAAAAAACTTTTTTAATTTACTATTTCCGAAAAATGAAATTTCTTAGCAAAAATACTATTCTCTATAATAGTAAAACTATATTAGTTAAAATAGAATAAAACATTTTTTCGAATAGGTGGTACCTTTAAATGTAATTATTTAAGTTTTTAGCCTTATTTTGTAAATAAGGATTATAATACGTGGTATGTATAAATAATTAGTATAAGTCAATACAGAAAAAATCAAATCTATTTTTCATTCAAAATTTCTCAAAAACATTTGTTAATATCAATGTGTACACTTAAATAATAATATTACAACAATTATGGGCATTGTAATACTCTTCCAAAACAAATGTTAAATTAATACATATAAATTTAATCCAATAATTATATTACAAAATACTAAACAAATTACCTTTGAATATATTTATATACATTGAAACATAATTAATGACCATTCCTGGTTTCTTAAATTTTCCCAAAATTAAGTTTAATATTAATAAAATATTTTGATTAATCTGTATCTATGTATGGGGTGAAAAGAGAAAAAACAATAAGTTGAATTTTCAATAGTAAGTTAATATAAAATACTTTGTATTCAATATTTAATGCATTGGAGTAAATTATTTATATACAGTTAGTGAGCTTTGAAACCAGATATAAATGTAAATTAGTCGGTTTCATTAATTAATTATAAGTTCATTTCTCTCAACTCAAATATAATACTCGTAATTGTTATATTTGTCGTGAAAAGGGTTGCACATTTCAATGAACTTAAAAGTAAAGTAAGTGAGACATCTTAAGATGCACCACTTTGCATATGTATTTAGATTCAATTTTAAAAAAAAAGCGTACTAAAAATTATTAAGTTACATACACCATTACAAATATTATTGAAGTATTTTTAGTTAGACTACATTATAAACATCACTTTTTACTGCTCTATACTTATAAAATTAATATTTTAAGTAATTCATTCGTGTTGTTGTATGACATAAAACATTTATAAATGATTAATTGGGTTAGATTGTTATAAATTTATACACTTAATTTGTATAGATTGGAAAAATAAATTTTATAATTAGAATTGTTTTCTCACGAAACCAAAACTAAATTCTTTATAAAAGAATAAACCTTTTCATCAAATTAGAAAATAAAAAAATTCAAATTTCAAGTTTTTTATATTAATAATAAAAATTACGTTCATATATATACATATATATATATATATATATATATATATATATTTATGTATTATGTTATTAGACAACAGTGCGACTCATGTGTGTATTTAATGATCATTGTTTTAATTTTTTTTTTTTCACAAACACTAAAACTCCCACCGTCCTCTGAATTACTTCCTAACTTTTTCCTTATCTAAATATTTAATGCGTAGGGACATTGAAGCTAAAGATTATTGGAATTTTTTTCGTGAGAAAGTCTGTGATATTTATGATTAATGATAAAATTATAATACAAAAATAATTAAACTCGATACAAGTATTTTAATTTACATTTTACGTTCAAATTATGTGAAAATTTTTATTGAATATTATAATTATTATTAATAAATCAGGTTTCATTAAAATTGTTGTTAATATTTTTTTTTTTTTTTTAATAAACAAAAATATGAACTGTAACACATAATTATCGAGTATATAGTTAAAATAATATTATATGTACTTAAATATTAGATAAAATTAATGATTTCTTTTTTTTTAATTCTTATAAAAAAAAAAAATAGTTCTCATTATTGAAATTCAGTCATGCCAATATTTAGTTATTATGGTTACAGGAATACGGTATGCATTTTCCGTGGCAAAAAATGCATACAATGTCATCGATCAACATCTCAATTTATACACTTTGAAGCTTTTAACATGAAAATAATATTAATAAGAAAAAATTAAAATAACATTAAAAAAACATAAATAATTTATACCATCCACATAACATACTTTAATATATAGCTCCAAAATTTGAATTATTATGTAAACGGATAACATACATTTTGAAGCTATGTATAAATTATGGTATGAAGATGGTATTCGTTAAAATTAATTAAAGTTGTTGATCAGTACTGCAAATAAGATGGCTGATACGTTGACTGGCAAACCGAAATATTCATCATGGCTGCATTCGATTGTAGCTCATGGTATTGGGCATTGTGATAATACGGTTCCTGTTCAACACAAGTGCTAGACATGGAAGGGTATCTACATATATATGGATCCCAGTCATCCAATTCAGGATTGTCCACTAGATCGGCAGCTGTGATGCAGTCCACTGACGGTAGATCACCTATGCGACCAATGTCTGAATTGAAGTTGTTCGAGGTATCGCCTTCAGTATAGAAATATCGTTCATTATTATACTTATGACTTAATCATCAATTGATTAGAATCGTTATATAAACGTGAACGAATTCCAATACTTACCGTAACCGTTACTATATGTTAAAGTGTTACAACAGTTGTTTTTGGGCTTGTTTGGATAATAATTAGGAGTACAAGGAGGAGTCAACGGTGCTTGCGGCGAACCGGATGGACCACTAGTGGATGACGATGAAGTGGTAGTAATTACATTTTCTTGTTTAATTGAATTCGAGTTGTATCTAAAATTAAATGATTACATGTGAGTTTGATGGACATTTTTCTGTAATTTTGTTTCAATCGAATAAAAATAGTTAATATTATTACATTTCAAAACATTTTTTTCATCTGTTTAAATTAATATTCTTAAAAGTAAATAATGGTATAAAATCGGCTGTTCATTAGTTGTAAAAATTAAACTAATAATTTAATTTTATGCAAATTATTTATTTATTACATTTTGTAAAACAATCATTTTAAATGGATAAACGCTACTATGATAATAATGATGGATTTTTAATTATTAGAATAAATAAAATCAAAAAAACTATATATATGATGATAAGTTAAACTATTCACATAGATTGAATAGTTAATTTGAGACTAATTTTGGTAAAAATTACCTTTTTTTTACTCAATACTAATTAAAAGATAGTGCGTAAATAATATCTTTCCTGCAAATATTAGTATCGAATGTAATATTTATTACCTGTTACAAATAGTAGGTATATTGTGATTTAAATTCTGCTGATACTGATCATTTTTTTCCAATTTAACAGTTTGTGATTTTTCTTGCATTTTTGATGATAATTTGATCACCCTACGCCTACGAGGTTGATACTTATATCCTGGATAATTCTGTTTATGGATTAATCGTAATTGTTCGGCTTCGTTTATAAATGGCAGTTTATCTTTTCCGCTCAACTTTCTGAAACATTTAGTAACATTTTTGATTAGCTGTATAATAATAAAATCTAATCCCAATTTAAATTTAATTTAATTATTATTTTTTCGTTTTTAAATCAATAATATACATTTAATAATACAATATTTAGCATTTATCATTCATTGCCTTTTAAATATATTTTCTAAAGGCCATATTTACGATAATAGAGACCTTTACAATTTTATAATTTATTATACTTTTTAATAAATTACAATTAATATTGAATCTATTGTAATTATAAACAAGATATTTTTCATTTTAGACAATTGTATACATATACATACAAAGTTGACTTTCATCTACATATAATATGATACATTAAATCATGTATTATAGTTCCGGAACTGCTAGCTTTTTATTGTTATTTCTTTATATTATAATATCGGGCACTTGTTGACAAGCCACCAAGGAGCAAAAAATGAATTCCTCATGTTTTATTTTTTTTTTTACTATTTGTCATACTCAGAGGGTTAACATGCTTGGGGTTGAAAATATACGGATAATTAAACGTACGTCCGATTTATCCCAGATGCTCAGAGCCTGCATATCCGTCCCTAAACACTCCCAGTATTATGTCATATTACCATATTCTAGCTTCTGAGAGACTAATTAAACACGGGAGTGTCTGTCTATGGAGTATGACCTTTCCCATTTTAATATGAATGTTTTACGCTTCACTACAGTATAGTGAAGTAAAAAAATAATAATCATGACCGTACATAGTATTTAATTAAAAATTAATACACAAACATTAAAATAAAAAAAATTCTCCAACAATTCTTGACTGGTCGCAAATCATTGTGCATTACGCATAATACAATCAGTTGTAGTAGGATGGAATATGTAGTACATAAAATATCTGCCAGCTACTACATCTTATACGTAATAGTATGCTAGTATTATTTATGGAAAAACCACCCTGATTTTTTAATAAGTATTTACTGCTAAAATGAAAAACAAAGTCATGAAAAATTCGTACTCTTTAATAAAATAGCTGTACCGAATGTAGTTGCAAGTACTTCAGTGCCATTAATATATAAGATTTTTTTTTCTTGGTAAACCTAAGGGAACTGTTTTTTGGCACCTGTATTATATCATCCGTTAATTTTACTAGCTACCATAAACTTAACACATTGCTTTAAGCAACTAACACAGTGTAAATACATTCAAATTTCATATTATAGAAAACATGCACGAATAAACGAATACATAACTACTTATATTATGTAAATTTACTCATGAAAATAATGATGCTATGTATCAAGTTATTTATTAAAACTTACGTTTTCGTATATTTATATTTTATATTATATGCTACAGTTTTAAATATTTTCATGTTATAAAAAATGGTTTATAAATTAAACTTGTAGTTTTTGTAAACATTTTTTTTTTTTTTTAATATAGAATCGCTAGTAAAGATAATTATATTAATTAAATGTATTTGTTCTATTTTTTTTTCAATAAAATATTATCTTATTATACTAATAATTAGTATCTTATTTACAAAAAATATTGTACCACTTAATTTGTTTACAAAACTACTTTGATTTAAAATTATAATATTATAAATACATAGACAAATTTAATAAATGTTTTTAATTATTTTATAAAACAAAAATAATTAAAATACTATGAACAGTCGTAGAATCTTCAATTAATTGTGTTATTTTTTAACCAATTTGTGATAGTAATATTAATTGTTTACTCAATGGTTTTCTATTATTAATTTCAAATATGGAATTTAATAACTACACGAAATACACACTCCTTAGCGTACACTGTAACAATAACTAATGTTAATTTAACTGGTAAACATGTATGTATTTCATTCAATTATTATAGATACAAAATATTTTTAAAAATGTATAAAGTCTTATAATAATTCTTCGAAGATAATAATTTTCCATCGTAACTAATTTTACAGAAAAAAAATCATATTATATTAAACAGCAAAACAAGAAAAAAATATTTTTAATATTTATTTTTCTTCGAATTAAAATTCACCGTTGCATTTTATTGGTTAAAAATATCACTTTTAGAAGTGTACTATAATTAAGGTGAATATTATTCGTCAGCTCCATAATTTTTTAATGTGTCAACCATTTTTATGATGAATTTCGATCTAACCGTTGATTTTTTCAACATTGCTTTAAACATATACTGCTCAAGAAAAAAAGTAATAATAATAATAATTCGAAATTAAAATTGATTGCATATTGTAAATTCAAATCCATGCATATTTATTATTATTTCTGAATTCAAACAAAATAATTGAATTATACATTATATTAAACTCATGTAAGTTAGATTTATTTAACCAAATACAAATGTTAATTACTTAAAATGACAAATTATTAGAATCATTATAAAAATATCACAGTAAAAAGTATACAATCAGTTAACATAAAATGTACAAAAATCATAGTTATAATAAAATTTTTTTAACTTTTAGGAAGATATTTAGCATATTTAATTTTGTACTTAATAGTGTATCATTACACTATTACATTGTAATAAGAGTACATTGATGTTGATGCACTTGCATTTTATTTAAATTATTATAAAAATTATAAATCTATTGGACTAAATTAAAAATGATAATGATATTTTTCAAATACAAGAGAAATAATATAAGATTTATGTATTCCACACTGGACTAAATTGACATTTTTGAAGATTCATAACACTTAACTATGTTTGATAGTAATTTAAATTTTCAGTAAAAAATGAAATGTGACCTTTAGTTAAACTGTATAACAAACTAAAATTTATTTTTAACAATAAATCGACTTTAGGCCCACGAGTATAAATGTCTATAATGAAATAAATTTATATACAGAACATGTATAGAAATTCGAAATAACTATAGATAAATGTTGATAATTTAAATAATGCAGATAAAATATTTAACTAGGCATAATATAAATTAGAGTATATTTTTAATAAATTAATTTTCTTGTCATAATTAATTTAAAAACCGTTTTTAATTACATGTAATCTAACTTATATTTAACTTATTATTTTTCAGAATAACAAAAAATTGACTTTTATCAAAATTAACATTTTTAACATATCACAATATGCTATCCCAACACTTTATAGGTAATAATATACTGTATTGAAAAACTGTTATATTTACCTCCATATTTGTCCAAGCGTTTTACTGAGCTCAGCGTTATGAAGCTGTGGATGTTCATTGGCAAGAATACGGCGAGCAGCTTGGGCCCATACCATAAAGGCATTCATTGGTCTTTTAATATGAGTGACTTTTTCCTTGTTAGACGGTCTAAAAAATTAAAAAAATATACGAATTAGTAAACACATGCGTAACGAAAAAGGGTCTGTTGGTATAAATTAATATTCAAAATCAAATTCTCTATTATAAAAGGGTTTCTCTAAGCTTATAACCCTAACATTTGAACAATACGCATGTTTCACTTTTATTATAAATCATTATCAATTCTAGTATAATCTAATAAAAATACACATCTTAATTTTGGTCATTATTTAATATGATACTATTTATATAAAAAAGTACACTTTTTATTTCCAAATTTGAAACAAAGAATTCTACAAGATTATATAATACATTATCATTCCATATCTTCATAAAATACAAGTAACTACATAGTAAAAGTACTGAGAAACTCTTAGGGCAACTATCTGCATGCAGCGATATGCACTTATGCTACATTGTATCTATTAATATTGCAAATATAGTACTCAGAAAATTGATTCAATGCAGTGAGATAGGAACATACTTTTTTGATTTATAGTTAAAAAATATCTAATAAATGTACATAATATAAGTATACATACTTCCATAATTAATTTAAAATCTTAATAATAAATAGTAGTTTGTATCAATAAGCTACTTCTAAATACGTCATATAATTAAAACTTTATTCTCAAATTACAAGTTTCCAACTTAAAAAAAAAGAAGACATTTCCTATTTTTATCAACATTTTAAATTCTGTATAAAAAACCTCCGATTTGGCTATAACGACAGTTCAGTTAAATTAAATGTGAGGACGCATGCAACCGATAGGATCTTCCCTAGCGAGTTTCGACCGAAAATACATTGGTAGATGTCCAAAACGCATATGTTTTCGAAAAGATATGACAAGATGCGTATAAACACACACGTAATTTGTATAAACATTACAATAATTAACTATACCTACGCGATGGCCATGGTTCGTAGACGAATAGGAATTACCAACATTAAATCTAAGTGTCATCGGTTAAATTAATTATATAAGAGTAGCAAAACGGTCGGCTTTGTGTTTTGTTTTGATATTATTAAAAATTGTTTAACCTATTGAAATTTAATTTGTACACGTTTGAACTTCGTTTCGATTTCCACATAAATCGAACATTTTTAATAAAAAGAAAAAAAACAAAACAGTCAAATCGATATACAACTATTTATAATATAATATATAAAACTCAAGTTATAAGTAATAAATATGTATAAATAGATATGTCAAAGAACAAAGATTATTTATTATAGTAAGCATAATAAATTTCTCCTTATATCGTTATTCTCCTGATCGTTTAATCCACCGTGTTTATTTATATAAAATTGACTAATTTTAATAATATGACGATATTGATAAAAGTAACGAATATAAATTATAACTGATTACCAAAACACCATTTCTATAATCAGTTATGTTTAAGCACAAATCTTTTCTAATTTTCTCTTTTACTAGGCACCTATTTGAGGTATAAAACTGTAATTTCATTAAGTTAAACAATTTATCAGCTTTTTATTTTTATAAAAATATAAGAAAATATAAAATTCATAATATTTATAATATTTATATTTTCAATATATTATATGTACTAAAAATATAATATTTTTCGTTTTATTCTTATTGTTGAATTTCTTAGACACGATATAATTATAATAAATTATTTCAATATTTCTTTACGAAATACCGCATACATTTATTTTCGTGGAATCATCTAAAAATTATTTTTATTGACCTTCACAATAAATTACGATTTGTTTATTCAACGTAATTATTTATCGATTTAAAATAAAACAGTGAACAAAAAAATACTGTATATCCTTTTTACTCAATGGTAACCACGTGTGTGGTTTAAAATTTGAATGAAAGCGCACTTCATCCTTTTCACAGCAGGGTTCTTACACGATTTATCATGGCTATGTTTGATGTCTAAACAAAAAATAGCTGATTCGTTCAACTGACCCATTGAAAATATTGATCATGATGACTAGGCGACAGATAAAATGTACAAATATTTTTTAATTTTTTTTTTTCGATTAAGATTTGTGTTCGGGACCATGCATAAGCCAGTAGGCGTTGATCATAAAGACCGCTATCAGGAATTATGCTGAATATTTTTATTATAACATATACACATAGATATACAACTAAAAACATATCGAATTAAATTCCATCCACGTTGTACTTCTTTTACTAAGGAGCTTCCGGCCGTTCCTTATCATCCGGTTAAAAAAAAACGCAGGCAATGTTGACGATAGAAACTGTTAACATTCCTTAATCATTTCATCTAGTTTAGCATATAATACATATTAGATAATATGCAAGTTGATCTTTATATCGCAAATATGCATATCAAATTATATATATATATATAAAAACGGATATTTAAAAAAAATGTATACATACATATTTTATTCCGACTCAAAAACAGAACGATACTTTCATAATTTGTACATTTTTTAATATTTCCTAACTTTCCAGTAAAATTATATAATTCCAAAATCAAATTAAAATATTACAAAATTAATTTTTTATCAAGCTGGTTAAGTATTATTAAAACTTTTTTCATCATTTTTTAGTGTATTCAAAAGTTTGAAGTTACTTTTACATATATATTTACTTCTAAGCAGGGGCGTAAATAAGGGGGAAGTTTGTGGCGTTTCAAACACCCCCCCCCCATTCAAAACTCTCAATCAGTAAATAATTAATAATCGTAATCAGAAAAAAATTGTGTGTACGAGTATATTAATTAATTATTAATTATTGAGTACATTAATTATTAATGTTATTAAGAGGAAATGTATAAAAAAATTAATTTAATGTTAAACATTTGTACTAAAACACAAATTATGTTAATAATACATAGTAAATTATTATAATTTCTCGTAAAAACAATCAATTTTATTGTAAATATAACTTTAAATGTTTATAAAAAAGAAATTAATCAACCCAAAATTTTTTGAGTATTACTAACGACAAAAATGACTTTTTAGTTAGAACGTTCACTGCCAATGAAAATATATTTGTTTTTTCACGTCAGCCCATTACTAATTCTTAAAAGTTGAAAACCCCTCTATTAATAATCTATACCAGCGTCCCTGCTTCTAAGGTATTATATCAATGTGATACAACTGCTAATTGCTAGACTAATTATGTAAATAAAATATCAGTTATATTTAGTACCAACATTAAAGTGATTACACATAGTAAAGTGAATTTATTTATCCATCTGTAGAAAAATAACACTTCTAATATTAAAATTTTAAAATCCTACTAATGAGATATTTTATAAAAGTTAAAATAATAAAATGTAAGAACTAAGAGTACCTACTTAATTTTACTTGTTACTTCACAACCAGTACTAATCTGTATATAAATAAATCATAGATGCATAGTCTAAGTGAAATATTTGTTATCATAAGTAAATTACATAGTACAGTTGAATGATTATTACCAGGGTTCGGAAGTTCTAGCAAATGCATATTTTTCTTGGTTGATCCTAGAGCATCCAAAGTAAGATACAAATATGTTTCACACTAATCGTATATCAAACACAAAATTTAATTTTGCTATTTTTTGCATAATTACGGGTTTTATTGCTAATTTGCTAATTTAGGGTTTATAGTGCTATTTTCAGATATATTTTCACTCATCACAGGAAATCATCATATTTTGTTGATAATAATTGTATTTACTTGATTATATTTTTAAAAATATTTGAATTATTGGAAATAAATAGAACTCATCGAGTATTATTTTATATTTTCATCGAAAATTTGATGTATCAATAGTAAGTGACGTCGTTGTTATTCCCTCATTATATCATTGCATTAGATTATCAAACATTTTAATAATTCAGGATAATTTCCAAGGTAAATATATTAAATAATTTAATAATTTGTACATTTTTACAAATGTATTTAAATAATTTAACATTTTTGTTAACAGTTTATAATTCAATCAGTCCAGACTGTGTCTATGAAGTCAACAATTTGTAATTTTTTCATATTAAATGTATTTTTTTTATTTCTCATGCTATTTATAGCACATATTTAAGAGTTTTTATTTGCATATTTAAAAGCTAAAAAGTAACATGTTTAATGCTACAACTTCCGAGCCTTGATTATTACTGATATACATAGAATAATTTGTTTGACATTTTCATTCATTCTGAACTTATTAAAATGTTTTAATTATATTTTATTAAAAAAAAAATATATACCTCTAAAAAAGTTTATTTAATTTCAGCTTTCTTCGAATCATAAGTGAAAACTTTTATATAGGATTAAATTTAGATTTTAAAAATTCCATCTTCAGTGAGATAATTTGAAATATGAACTTTCGATGATCCCTAGATTGTTTGATAATAGAGTATAACTATTACTTAAAGTTAATGAAATTCTTAAGAGACACTTCCAAAGCGTCACTGATATATTAAAATAGCTTTTTATACAGCTTTAAATACCTATTATAACTTATTGTAAGTTATTATTACTTACGTATACACATGATATTATAAGCTATATAAATCAAAACAGTAAATTTAAATAAATAATTTAAATCGATTAATTTTTTATACTAATCAATTTAGTAGTAGTAATATATTTGAAATACTTAATACGTGATCGATAAATTATATTACATCAAGGAAAATATATTTGTGAACACAATAGTTCTTTAATAATTAAGAATTAAAAATAAATTTTAAAATAAATATTATTTATTGGATCAAAAGAAAGAAAATTGAAAACAAGTACTCAAAAAGAGATTGATTTAATATGCATGTATCCTTTTCCGCCTTTTTTAGGTAATTTGACATGAACAACTCTTCTAATCACGTGGCACTATCTTACAACTTTCAAAAGTCGAATCTGAATTATTATAATATTTATTTTTTCCAACCGATCTTTCGGTGATTTATCATTTATAAAATATCCAGATATATTCTAAAAAAAACCTACTTTAATATTAATACAGAATTTTTAATCAGTATATTATATAATATGATTACTATGAAAAAATAAACCAAGTAATTGATTCGTTGAAATATTAAACTGTAAAATTAATGTCCTTTGATAAGTTATGATAAAAATAATTAATAACAAGATATTTTATTAACAATAATTGAAAAACATAGATTTTTTTAAGATCAAATATTTTATATATAAATATATTTGGTAAATATGTAAACAAATAAAATTACACTAAGAACAAATTATATGAAACACTGTACAATTAACACAATTGTTCAAAAATAAAAAGCTTTTCAAATAAAATATTATCTGTTCGCCTATATATTCAGATTATTAATGAATTAAAATGTATAATGAAGTTCATTGAGTTTATACAATTTCTACATACACAATAGCTGAAAAGTTCAAATTATTTCTATAGAGATTGGATGTTAACTCATGTTAACTCATTAACTCATTTCTATCCTTATTTTGTTCGAAGATTTCAGCAAACCTTCAATGTTTTATCTTTATTTTACGTTTATAAATCATGTATACGTTCAAAGAGTATTTTATAATATTTTTATTTTTATAAATAATATTATATTATTTATAATAAATTATATTTTAATATTTATTATAAATATTTTATAATATTTTTAGTAAATATTTTACGCTGTTAAGTACGTTTGCAAAATGTTAAAAAGCTCAATACCATTCACGGCCTGATCACGATCAAAAATAAACAAAATAAAACATTTATGAAAATAATATATGAAATTAAAAAAAAAAAACAATCAACGCAGCTCATTATATATTATTATAAACCTAAATTCCAATTCGAAAACGAGTCAGTTTTGAAATAAAAATGTACGGTTTATAAAACTGCAATACCGAACCCTTAAATCATATATGATCAAAGACTGGAAGCCACGTTATGTGTTATACATCACATTATATTGTAGTGACGTGTTTTGCAAAAATAATAATATAATAATATAAATAAAATATAATATAAAATTATAAAGTAAATTATTTTTTCGGAACTCGTTTATACGCGCAATCACTGTTTTTATCTGTGAACTGATCATTGATAACAAGTAACACAGCGGCGGACTGCGTGCTAGTCAGTTCATAATTGAACAACTACAACTTTACACTATATTTCGGCAACATGCACGCGATTGCGCGTAGTGTCCGCCGACAATTGATTTCGTGAGAGTTCGTGACTGTGCGTTTTCGATACGCAAAACAAATAAAATCACAGTCGGATTAAAGATTTTTTCCGCTCATCTTAACACGTTCAAATATACGACCCGACCAGGTTTTCTTGGTACACACACACACACACAACCTTTATAATGATATTTAATTACCTTTTTAACAATGAATTGAGAATTAATATTGATTTCAATATTATAATTTTTAATTCGTTTTTAATCTCAACCCCTCGGATATAATTATTATTATAACTAGATCGTCTCTTCATATTTGATAATTTTAAATCGAAATAATACCGTCTAAGATAATGTCGTATCAATATTTTACTGTCGCTATCCAAGAGTTATGAACTCTAGGGTCTAAACTGATGTTTTTTCACGATTATACCTGTCGCTTCCAGGTGATAAGCACACAATATAGTAATAAGCCAAATGTTTTCGGGGTAGAATAAAAATACGAAACATACCTAGTCTGAGGCGGTACAACGTTCCAACTGTACCCCTGTAACACTTCTTTTACGGTCTCGTTCAATAACGGATTTTTTATCAATGCCTGATTCATCGCTGCCCTGGAAGCCGTTATGCTTCCTGCAGCACTTGCCATGATCGTGATCTTGGGTTTCGAATTCACGATCTTTAATGCAGCGGCCGTGTTCGAATCACCTGAGCAAAATTCTGCAGCAGTAGAGTTGTTATTCATGTCGTCAATATTGAATCAAACCGATAGCAATATGTAGCAGTAATGTGTACGAAATGACATAAGTAAACGCAGTCTTAATTTAAATATAAAACACGAAGGGCTAATTGAACCAACGCGAACCAGACGAGAAAATGTACTGTGGTATGGAGATCTCGTCCGTCCGTCTCGCATATAGATCTTATCGTCGATCCTTCTTACTCCCACCGTATTCTAGAGCAGGCGGAGCGTAACAAAAACCCCGAACCCCTCTTAATTACATGGGATTTTATACGGAGCATTAAGTTTGATATTTTTTTTTTCAATTCTCAAAAAATCAAAATAAATTTTTTTAAAAATAAACATTAAAATAGAATCAACAAATTTAGTGAGCTCGCATAGTAAATATTTATCTCGAACAATAAGACAAACTTAATACATTTTTAAATTAATCAATCGACTAAGAAAAAATAAAATAAAATTATTGAAAGAATTGTGTATACTTATCATATATTGATCTGTCGTAGTGTAAAATGAAACTTAAAATACGATAGAAGTATATCGCATAAATTAGCTATTCACAAATTGTACGCCCTAAGAGTAATAAGAAATTTTAAAATAAAATAAAATAAAATACAGAACAAATGGAAACTTGAACTGTTATTATATTTGTTACGCACTTTAATATTTTCAAAATTATTCAATCAAAATAATTCAAGAAAATTAAATATTGTAAATAAAATGTATTATACTCGTATTTGTTGGTATACAAATAAAATTATTTTATTTCAATGTCATTGGTGCCGAATAATACGCATGAAACATTACATTCAACGTCTAAACTTAGAAAATCGTTTTTACCATTTTGTCAAAAATCTATAATAAAACACCGCAAATATATAGACTAATAAAATAAGATTACATTATGGGATAAAAATTAAAAATTTCAAAACTCAAAACTACTAAAGCCAAAAATGTACAAGGTGAAAGATTTAAATTTACAAGTTGCGATTTCTACAGTGTTAAACAAGTCAAATCCTGTTGTTTTTAAATCGCTCGTATTGATTAAAAAATACATTTATTTCGATTTTTAATTAAATTGAATTGTTTTTATTAATACTAAAAAAAATCACATATAATAAATCCTTGCACAGTTTTGAAGTAAATAAAAATATTGTAAAAAAAAAAATTTAAAAAAAACATTTTTCGTTTGATACTTTTGCACAATTTATAGATTTTCAAGGTTTATTTTTATGAAATTTTTAACAGTTCGACTTTTTCATTTAATACAATTCATGAGGTTTTATAATGTTTTTTAAGCTAACAGGAAAATTGTTATTAAGAGGAAATGTATAGAAAAATTAATTTAATGAAAAACATTTGTACTTAAACATAAATTATGTTAATAATACATAATAATTTGTTGTAATTTCACGTTAAAACAATCAATTATATCGTAAATAAAACTTTAAATGTTTATAAAAAAGGAAATTAATGAACCCAAATTTTTTGATTTATAGTGTTATATATAATATCATGTAGTGAATCATACATTAAATTTTCGAATCAAATTGAATTGTTTTACTAATAAAAATGAATTCAAGCTTTTTTTAGTATTTTCTTTGGTATTATTGTTTTGAAAACAATAAGAATCTAAAATTAAAATTTTTTGTTCTATACTCTCCAAATGTTGATCCAATTGATGATCGAATAAAATGCTTCTAAATTTGTTGGTGTAGTTTTATTACAAAAAAAATAAACCACAAGAAGAACTTGTTCAACAAATACATTATAACATTTTTCGTTTTGCTCAAAATTTAGAAAATTGCATTCTTTAACAGAATCAAACGTCACAGAAGTGTGAAAAATATTTACTATCTATATAATAAAATTGTATGAATGATTGTTTCTCAAAAACTAATAAGGTTTTTAATAAATACATTATAAATTGCATTATTAAAATTCATATTTTAATGTTTTTCTGGTGATGGGATAATGTATTTGTTTTTAACTAAAAATATTCATTGGTGAGACGAAGCATTTTGACGAACTTATTAAAAATTGAAGTTATATGTTTATAATCATATATACCTGCACGAATCATAGTGATTGATGTATATTGTAGAATGTTAAATAAACTTATATATATTTATATATATATATATATATATACTAAAAAGTGTTATATCATATTATATTGAATGTATTAAAGTTGTTCCAAAAATGTATTTTATAAAATGATGTATCTTAAATTGTATTTATTAAAACGTATAACATATGGTTAACTCATTTATGTAATAATTATAAATTGTTTATGGTTTATAATATAACAATAGATATACACTATATGCAAATTGTACATTTCGTAATTACTTCAACATTTGGATAGGCCATTGTTTATATTGGTAGTGAATACCAAAAATTTATTATATGAGTAACTATCAAGAATAATTAATACATAAACATTTTTTGGTCAACCATTTACTTACTAAATTTAATGAATATTAGATAAAAAAATTTCCAAATTCTTGGATATTACTTAAATTTAGTTTAAATCATAGTTTTATAATCAAATATTAACAATATTATTATAGTATTTTTAACATTTTTATATATACATATTTTTTCATATACAGTATTTTTATTCAGTTATTAATTTATTACTAACCAAACTTTCCAGCAGTTACAGTTAACGTCTCAATTAGTGTAATAATCAGTTTTATTTTAGTAATAATAAAAAATATAACTTAAATTGTATATATCTTTCAGACGAAAAACAAATTCACGTCAAAATATATATAAATTATATAAAAAAAATGTTTTGCACTTGACACTAGTTAAAACAAATTAACAAATTAATTAGTTAAATTCTTTTAACTAGTTAAAACAAATTGAAGATTATATTAGAGCCATTAATATACTATTATACTTCTTATAGATATTTAATTAATATTAATAGAATATTAGTGTAAAAGGCATACTTAAAATAAAAAGGATGTAAAATTATTTGTGTAAAGAAATTATAAAATGAGTAGAACATCCCTGTGAATATTATTTTTGATAAATAAATAAATTAAGATATCTATTCTAATCATCTTATATTAACTTATTAAATACATTAAAAACATTTTTATAACAGAAACATTAAAACTCTTTATTAATATCTGATCAGTAATGTATTCAATAGCTTATAATTTTGTATATGCTATTATAATAAGTAGGAAGTGTAATAAAATATGTTAGTCTTTCACATACCTTTTTAATATTTATTGTTTATCATATTAAGACCCAAATATAAATATTAAAAACATTATTATTCTTTTACCTAAGATTTCAGAAAAAGTATTATTATTTATTTTTAAAACAAAACATTAGAAATAAATATTACGTAATATAGCGTACAATGGGCTCCGCCGAGCACGTATAAGTACCTAAATAATTTTTATTATTTAAACATTTATAATAAAGGTAAATATTTTTAACTTGAAGTTTGCTTAATTTTATTCTATTCAAAAATATTAATATAAACCTCATGTGTATATTTTAACTTTCAACTGTTACAAAGTTAATCAAAAGAAATCGGCCAAAAATGGAATCGCTAGAGACCAAAAAACTATCTGGTTTTGACTGATTTTCGGCATACTTAAAAGGTTTAGAAACCTTAAATGTCAGTCAGTACCATGAAAACTTTCTTCCCAGACATATTTTCCTTTTATTTAGGGACAATCATAAGCAGTTTTCTCTATATTACGAGTCAATACACAAACGATGAATACATCTAACGTATATCCAGATTAAATTTTATATTTAATCTTCTCAAACAGAAAATTGATGTCACACAGAATATTCTACTTTTATTATAATCGATTATAAACGTTAAGATACCAAACTTGATTGTTTGCTACGCTCTGTTCAATGAATATATGTCCAATAATTTAATACTATTATATAATAACAAGTTTAAAAAAAAAAACATATTATCCTATAAATAAGTACACAAATTATCATATGTTTTAAAATTTTACAAAACTGTTAAGGAATGTGTTATACTAACATAAATATTTATTTATTTAAAATCGTCAATTTCTTTTTCAAAACTATTTGAAACGCAACTTATATAATAATTCAATATTAAAATACCCACTATTGCATAAATATTTAGGTAATGTCTGCAAAAGTGCATATTATAACAAATGTGTATTTATTTACAATACATAGCATATATGTGTAGTAAAAAAGAAAAAACATTTGAAAATAAATACGGTTCTCATGATCAATAAATACTATTATGAATTTGTTGTTCAATTATTTTATATGAATGTTATGAACTATAACTAAATGAAACAGTATCGATAAAACTACATAAACGTTTTCTTATAATATATTAGTAATTCATTTAAGTATCAAATCTAAAATAATTTTATCATTAGTCAATGAGTCACAAAACAAAACGTCGGTAAGCCTTACAAATCATGATAATAAACTATTGCACATTTGGTTCTACAATTATTATACACATTGGAATGACTAAATAAACAATTACAGATATAAAAATGAAAAAATAAGATTTTATTCTTAAATCTAAAAAAATATTATCGGTTTTTATATCTATTAGTGATGTAAATAATATTTTATGAATTATTTTCTATTTGTAATGATTCAATTTATCAATTTGATAAAATATCATATGATGTACACAACTAATTTTTATTAAAAATAATTATTAATTATAAATATTGTAATTTTAAAAAACATACATATTAAGTAACAGATGTCACTGGGCTATCAGCTGTTGTTGCACTGAATGGATTTTTACGATCCGGTCTCGTCTAGAGGTATATCAATTTGAACTGAGAGTAACAATTTACCCTTGAACATAACTCGGGAAGATTTGTAATCAGTTACTTTTATAAATGGAAATAACTAAAATAATAAATAATTAAAATATTTAGTAAAAATATGTGCATTAAATAGGTAATACGAGTATTATATATTTAGATTAGCAATAAAACTTAATAACTATGGATATTTTATACCAAGTCAATATAAAAATAGTAACTTTCAGGCCTCTATCTAAAGCACAGTTGAACACATTTACCGTATATGAAAAAGAAAAATTGTAGTTGAGCGTACTGGAAATCAATATCTAT